AGGTCAAAATCGAGCAGAATGTGGTGAGAGGTATGCTAAAAAAGAGCTCTGAGTTTGAATCCTAATGTTGTTACTTACACAACTTTGATTAGAGGGTATTGTGCAAAACAAGGTATTACTGAGGCTTTGGATGTTTTTAAAGAGATGGTTGATCGAGGGCTGAAGCCAAATAGAATTACTTATAACACTCTTATTCAAGGGCTTTGTGAAGCCCAAGAGCTTGACAATATAAAGGAGATTTTTGAGGGAACTGTAGGGGGTGGAGAATTTGCTCCTGAAACGTGTACCTTCAACACGTTGATGAATGCTCATTGTAGTGCAGGAAATTTGGATGTAGCGTCAAAATTTTTGAGAAAATGGCAGTGTTGCAAGTCCAACCGGATTCAGCTACTTATAGTGTTTTGATTCAGAGTTTGTGCCAAAGAGGGGATTTTGTGAGGGCAGAGGAGTTGTTTAACAAGCTAGCAGAGAAGGAGATTTTGTTGCATGCTGTTGGTTGCACACCTCTTGTTGCAGCATATAACCCAATGTTTGAGCATTTGTGTAAAAATGGGAAGACCAAGAATGCTGAAGTAGTGTTTAGGCAGCTGATGAAAAGAGGAATCCAGGATCCTCCCTCTTACAAGACTTTGATCGTGGGACATTGCAGGGAAGGTACATTTCAAGCTGGCTATGATCTGTTGGTCCTAATGTTAAGGAGAGATTTTGTGCCTGATGTCCAGACTTATGAATCCCTAATTGATAGTCTATTGCAGAAGGGTGACCCCACTCTTGCCCATCAAACTACAGAGAAGATGTTGAAGATCTCCCATCTTCCCAAAACATCTACTTTCCATTCTGTACTTACATAACTTGTCAAAAAGGGTTGTGCTCATGATGCTGCTAGCTTTGTTATGTTAATGCTGGAGAGAAAAATTAGGCAAAACATTGAACTCTCAACTGATACTTTAAGGCTACTTTTCAAAAGTGGCTCATGGGATAAAGGTTTTGAGATTGTTGGGTCTCTTTATGAGAATGGGTATATGGTGAAGATTGAAGAATTGATTGTTTTCCTTTGCAAGAGTAGAAAATCGTTAGAGGCAAGTCAAATGTTGCTATTTAGTTTGGAAAAAGATCAAAAGGTTGATATTGATATATGCAGCACAGTTGTAACTGATCTTTGTAAAGGCTCTATAATTAAAGAAGCATTTAGTCTTTATTATGAACTGTTAGAGAAAGGAATACAACCACCTTTGAGCTGCCTAGAAGACTTGAGACACTCCCTTGAAGCTAAAGGAAGAACAAAGGAAGAAGAATTTGTTATACGAGCTCCACAACGATGAGATCTCAACACTCGTAAACTGTTATTCTCTTTCCTTTTTTTGGCAAATATATAATTAAATCTATGGTAAACTGTTATAAACTTCAGAGGTGCAGAGATTGGTTATTTTGATTGGATTTTACTTTTGAGAAGTTGAAGTTGTGTTTTTGTTTTCGAATCACTAAGAAGAAACCCAAGTGGCATATTTGAGGACTCTGTTTCTGTTTGTCTGATACTGCTAGAATTTTTGGTTCTCTGTATCAAAATTTCGTCTCTGAAGTTATGGAGAGGAAAAGATAAAGTGGGACCACCCTTTTATTATAGTTTCAAAAAGCTACTTGCACCTATAGGTTTAGACACTTGTATCAAAAGTTATGAAGTTGTAATTAAATGGATACATTAACTGTGTTGTTCCAAATATCATTAAGTCTTAGTTATCTGTTTCAGAGTTTTTATCTTCCTGGCAAGCTAGTGATAGAAAGTGTGGAGGTGATAATATTGTCCTTCGTAGCCCAACTTCATAGGGTATATATTCATATTCTTGTATTTTCTCACGTATTCACTCTGAACTCTCTGTAATTGTGTGTCATTTTTCTTCATTGTGAAATCCCTGCAACTCTGTGGACGTGTATGTGTGTTTTTGCTTGTGTTTTTGTTCCATCTTTCTGTTAATTTTCGTGACAGCTAGCTATTAGCCACATTGGTGACTGATTATTACTTTTGTTTCATATTTATTTTTGTGTTCTAAAATTTCATATCAGAAGCTGATGAAATGGCGAAAATTGGTGCAATTTTTTTTTTTCGTTTGTTACTGAGAGCTAATTTGATAGACTTTGAGTTATATCGATTGTATAGGTGGGAAGAAGAAAAAATTCACATCACATCTCAACTTTTGTAGCATCAACACTCTTGCACTGTCATATATTAGAGTATGAAGCTGTTCACAAGGTGAATTGCATTAAAAATGATTTTTATGGAATCAACCTACATGATTTTGAACTTTTTGAGTGCCTGTCTAGAGTCTTCATATAGTTGTAAAATGGAAAATTTTCTATTTGTGTTCACTTTTCCTCTTACTTTTAAATTTTCACTAGGTTGTTGGCTGGAGATTGTTAGACGAATAAGGGGGACTTAAACTACAATGTTTGTGGAGATTAAGAGATTTCAAATGTGGGGTTGAACTCATCAACAGGATTTGCAATGTTGTAGAGGCTGCAGGGCACTTCCCAAATCTTCACCTGGAGCAGCCTAATCACGTTAGAGCTGAGCTTTGGACTGTTTCTATTGGTTAGCAAAATTTCTGGAATTTTTTTGTTGATTGTTTCTTTCTTCACTGGTTCTTTTATATCAGAAGTTGATTTTGTGAATGAATGTGCTTAGTGACTATTTTAAATTGATCAAGTCAGACTCAAGTCCAGAATAGTAACTTCTCAAACCATCACCCCTCCCTCCCACCCCCAAAAGACACTCACAAAGCAGTATCCTTCTATGGAAAAGAAGATACAACACAAAAAGAAATATAAAAATGAAATAATATATCTATAGGTAAGCTTCTGCTAGATTATATATCTAATCTGTCTGCATAAGGTTTCTCTCCAAGTTCCAAATTTGAGAATGAGAATTAAATGAATATTTTTCAGTTATATTTACATATTATTTGCGAGAAATTTTTTCCTCATCTTGTTTTTATCAAAGAAGATATTTCACTCAGTCTTCTGGCATGATCACTGGTGAATTCTTGTGGTAGAATTTCGAAATTTAAAGTTGATATTGATATATGCAGCACAGTTGTAACTGATCTTTGTAAAGTCTCTAGAATTAAAGAAGCATTTAGTCTTTATTATGAAGTGTTAGAGAAAGGAATACAACTACCTTTGAGCTGCCTAGAAGACTTGAGACATGCCCTTGAAGCTGAAGGAAGAACAAAGGAAGCAGAATTTGTTTCTAAGAGGATGGGGAACAGTTGCAGTTGAACAGACCTGCTCCAAATTCGAGCTCCACAACGATGAGATCTCAACACTCATAATACCTATTACTATCATCCATTGTTATTCTCTTTCCTTTTTTTGCTCTCTTGTAGAGTTGATCAGGATATTATTGAGACTTCCATTATTCAAGTGAATGTCAAAAAGTTGTGCACTGAAATGGTCGAGTATTGGCTAGTGGTGGCAAAGCAAACGAGTCCTGTTTCGATTTGAGAGACAGGAAATAGAAAAAAACTGGTTCGGTAACTGTATATTTATCAATGCCCTTGCATGGTTTCATAAGAGCTTATGTTGGCACAACATTTCGGGCATGGACCTTACCCACATCGAAGTACAAGATTCCAAATCTGCAGGCAAGTTATGCTTTGTGCTTCCCTCTACCAAGCAATTTTTAATGTGCATTGGTAATTTTCTACTGTCTACCTATACCATATAGGTGTGTGTATATATATATATATACCGTATAATCTTTTCGGGATAGCACCCTCATTTTCTTTTAGCAGAAGAAAAGTCGAGGATCGAAGAAGAGGGAGAGAAACAAGTCCTGTTTCGATTTGAGAGACAGGAGAAAGAAGAAAACTTGTTCAGCAACTGTATATTTATCAATGCCCTTGCATGGTTTCACAAGAGCTTATGTTTGACTCTGGAGGTGGCACAACATTTCGGGCATAGACCTTACCCCCATCAAAGTACAAGATTCCAAATCTGCAGCAAGTTATGCTCCGTGCTTCCCTCTCCCGAGCAATTTTTAAAGTGCAATGGCAATTTTCTACTGTCTACCTATACCATATAGGTATATATATATATCTTATAATATTTTCAGAATGGCATCCTCATTTTCTTTTTCTTACCCACACCTCTCTCTCGTAAATGGATGGCATCTTCATTCTTTATTGGTGCAACTTGTACAGGTACAGGTTTATTTGTTCATCCAAAAGGAGATGCTGCCCTTGGTTTTAGCATATACAAGCATTAAACGAAAACTCGGCTTGTGATTGTGGAACCTGAGTCACACAATTCTTCTAAACGGATGTCGCTCTCACGCTCTGCACGTGCTTCTGCTCCTGATCACTCTGTGCGACTCCCGATCCCTCTGTGCGACTCCCCACCAACTCTAGACCTGAAGGTTTCTCGCAGTACTCATCTAGAGAGCTCTTTATGGTTCCCTATTTTTACAACTCTGATAAAATACAAGTAAGGTAGAAGGCTAAGCATTGCACCAATCAATGGATCCGTTGTAAATCAACTTTTACCATTGTACTCGGTTTTTACAACTTTGACAATATAGAAGCATGCAATTCAAAACCAAATACTGAAATGTTCCTTTTGCAACAAGCTCAAAGGAATCCTGGTATGATTATTTGCCGCATAGTCCCTTTGCACCAACTGTGATGTTGTTGACTATATCAAAGTATAGTGAGTGATTTGATTTAAAATTCTTCACGGTAACAGCTATCTCCAAATTTCACCATTAATGGGTTCAGTTTAGCCACTCTTGGTCCACTGCCAATTGAGCAAAAAATTTACTGAGTACTGGAATATGTAGTCGTTCCATTTTGAAACTGCATCCACTAATTTATTTCCTGTGGACCTTTTTATCTTTGTAGTTTTTACTCCTTCACTTGCTGTTTGTTTTCCGGTGAGAGTTGAACGTAAAAGAGCACAAGAAAGATTGAACTGTTGTAAGAGTGTATATCAAACAAATGATGCTCGAAAACTATGAATTATGTTCCAAAAAGATGGAGCCACAGAACCATCAAGCATTGGCTTGAGTGCATGTATTCAAGCCCTAGTGATCATGTGTGTGACATAAACTTTTTTTTTTCCTTGGCAAAAAACTCACATCCATGGGAACCTGAACCTCACCTTCCAATTTGAGAGACTTGAGGAAATGCCACTAGATTACTATATTAGGACATCAATATTGTGTTATATTGATTGACGCTTGAGGAAATACCCACTAAACTACTATGACAGAACATCAATATTGGTATACTAATTGACACCTCTATGACATCTTTGCACATGTTGCCGGGGAAGATGACTATTCTCAAAATTTAGTACAATAATTGATACAAGAAATCGAAGAAACTCCACCTATCAAAAAAAGATGAAGAAACTCGGATAGCTTTCCATCATCTAATGGGAGATGTCTTCAAAGACAGCAGGCTCTCCAATTCTGAAACCCTTGAATTGTCAGGCTGTGGCGGTCCAAAGACCTCCCAGAAGCGAAGAGTCTCATCTGCCCCAGCTGATACTACCGTTACTCCATCTGGGCTCTGCAACAAATCAATAAAAGGAGTTAAGGCTTGATACTTTTAAAATTACATTCCACAGTTAAGCTCACATTATTTCAAACCTGGGAAAGTTGGAGGACTCTGGATGAATGACGCATTAGCTCTCCTACTTTAGACATGGAAGGGTACCTCCACAAGCATAACTGGTTTTTATGCTCGTCTGCACTGTAGCCATGGCCACTCAGAATCTCCTTATGATGCATGTTCCATTCAAGTCCGCAAATCTGTTCACATAAACAAAATTACTACAAGCCATTGACTGAAATGTCTCAAAAAGATGGAGAGTAAATTGTTACACTTGCCTGCGCTTTGGTATCAATGCTGTTAACACACAAACCCTTTCGTATGTTCCATATCTTAATACGCCCATCCCTGGTGCCTCCTCCAGAGGCAAGTACCTCAGTGTCATACGGGCACCATGCAAGAGCCTTGACTGCCCCACGATGGTCATTGAACCGGTGCAAGAAACGGGATGAGCTCATCTTGGAAGCTTCCCATATGTAAATGAGATTGTCATTTCCACCACTTGCCAATGTGTTGCCTCTGGTTGACCATTTCAAACCACAGACTTCTTGGGTGTGTAATTGGACATAGGTAGTCGGACTGTTTCCCACTCTTACTGTCAATGAGAGCAAGTATTCAAGAAAGTCACACTAAATTGTCTCCTCATTTCATGATTAAAATAACCAAAACTGAAAGAACATATTTATACTACCATCATGATTAATAATAGCTTTGTCTAGGCTTCCTGATGTTAGGAGATGGTCATTCCATGCAATGCTTCCTACCCTTTTCTGATGACCTTCTAAGCTTCTAACCTGTGTATGGATATGGAGTCAATCTCACTCATTTGGAGTCTAAACAAAATATCTTAATCTCATATCATAGAAAGAGAGAGAGAGGGTTGTACTAGTTTGGAAGTCTCAGCATCCCATAGCTGAACTTTGGAGCACATATGTCCTACTGCTACCATTTTGGCATCCTCAGACCAGGCTACACTAGTAGGGTAATCGTTCTCGCAGTTTACTTGTGGCAACTTGTGAATGTGTCTGTTCTCAGCATTCCACAGAAATATATCTGTGCCCAAAGCAACTGCAATAATATTGGTTTTCCCCCAATCCATGATATTCAAATAGTAATCATCCTTCAGATTTGGTGCATCCAGGATCCAAGTCTCTTTCTGCATACATACAACCTTACATAAGGAAATAGAAACTGTAGAGGTTGTTTAGAAGCCCATATAAACACTTGACTTTTGGAACTCCAAATGGATTTGAAGACAATGAATAATATTATCAACATTGAGATTCTCAAACAAAATGACAACAATTAGTCCTACACTGCAACAAGACCAACCATCACTCAGAACTTCTAAAACAACACTTTCAAGCTAGTGCTGGTTATATTTATGTGCTATCCATGAAATTAATGGACATTTTAGAAGACTGAGCAAACTACCAGCCCAACTAAATCATAAATTATCAAGCACAAAAAAAAACCCAAGTGCTAGATTTATACTTGAGATATTAGTTTCCAGAGAATTTTTATAAAACTACAAACCAAGTGCAGCATTCAGAAATTGGGATCTCTAACCTTGGGGAAGTGCCTAAATTGCTGCTTGTTAATTCTATAATTTAAATTTTCCTCGTCACTACGCCGCATCTCATCAATAAGACGAACTGATTTTCTACTTGATTTGGGGCTTCCCCTGAAAACCAGCATCCTAAATGGTCTTCCTTCAGAATCCAAGGTCAGATTCTCCTCCACCTTTCGTCGATATTCATCCTGCCACAGTGAAATATTCCCAGTAAACTAAACACTCAATAAAAAAATTAATGCATTCTTCATCACCACCAACAAAACCTAAAATTCTCGAGCACCACTTTAAGAATTTGAACCATATCCTTCTGGCCACAATCAAATACTTTCTTGAATATAAAGACCCATTAAGGAATTTAAAATTTTTCTTGATTCAACAACCCATAAACCCAAGAATCAAAACACCAATTCAGGAATTTCAGTTCCGCATATATTCATGCCACAATCATCAATATCCAAGAACCCTAATTCCCATCTAGAAATTTCCACAGAAACTGAAAACCCATTTGAAAAAATTGGAGAAACAATGGGAGAGAGACGAACATTGAACCTGGAAGGGCTGGATTCTTTGGCTTTGCTACTCAATAAACTGTGGGCTTGATCAAGATCCATCAAACTCCTATTCGGTATAAACCGATCTCCCTTGCACACGCCAAACACAATAAATTACAAACATAATCATTATCAAAATGAAAACAGAGAAGATCAAAGCAAAAAAAAAATTGTAAAAAGTGTTTTGACGAAGATCCTGAAACTTTTACAGAGAATGAAGAAAATGGACAGTACCGGAAATTCGTACTGGACGGGACTGCTGAGCAAGCGAGTCGGGGAGTGCCAGTAGGATTGAAGTTTCCAAATGGTGTTCTGTTCCATCGGTGTTGCAGCGAAGACGAAATTGAGAATCTCCTTTGTTGGTTGGGTCTGAAATGCAAGAACTACACGTGAGAAGAGAAGGTATATATATATATATATAGGGCTCTTTCGCGCCAAAAGTATGTTTGGGTTTGTTAGAGAAAACGACCGTCAAGTTCATTCTCCTCCAACCGTCGCGGCTTTAATTTTGGAAGGAAAAATGGAAAATTAAAAATAAAAATAAATGAAATATGAAGACAATAATTTCTTTTGATTAATTTTTGTTTTATAATTAGTTGTTTAAAACCACTACAGTTTTACTTAATTTTTCAGGACTCTTCAGTCATTATATATTTTATAATATAGCTTGTTCGTTAATTAATTTATACTAAAATTATGTTTGCATAAGAATGCATGATAATATTTGGAAGGTTGGTTTGTGTGCTTATTTTAATTACCAAAGAGAAAATAATATTTGAAACGAAAACTTCAGTTCAAATTTCAGATACATAAGAATTCATTTGTTCACAGAACCTTTATGTTCAGTAGATCAAACATATGCATGCATGAATTATGTATTTTTTGTGGATTAAGAGAAAAAAGAAAAACAGAAAATGAAACGAAACCACATTTATTTTGGAACCCTGTAATCCTCCATGATCATTTATTTTATTTTTTTATCAAATCCTCCTTGATTTCTCCCTTTCCGAATTAAAATAAGACCAGTTTTTTTTTTTTTTTGGTAAAAAATGATCATGAATTAGAAAAAATGTATATATATATATATATCCATCGTACTAATTTTATTATTGAACTTTTTAAAATTCTACCAGATCAAAAAATTATTATTACAACGAAAGTTAAAAATAAAAAAAAAAATGAATCTAAACCGTTGAGATTATTGCGAACTTGGAAGAATCATGTTCCAATAAAGGTCACACACACACTGCACACACAATTTTTGATGGATTCGATTCCTTTATGAACTATGGATTCAGGCTTCTAATTGTGTAAAACCCCAGAACAAAATCATCTATTAGTTCGTTCCTGGAACTCATGCAAGGCAACATAACATCATGATTTCGAGCAGAACCTACCTCCATCTCTTTATGAAATAAAGAGCAGACAAGTACAACACATGAAATCTTCAACAGAACAAGATTTAAATCAATGGAAAATCGATTACTCTCAGGAAACCGATATATGTAATCTTAAATACACTGGAAGTACTCTCAAAAAACTGAATGAATTCAACTACCGCAAAAAGATTTTGCCAGAGACCATGACAATACCAAGAACCTAATCAGAAACAATAAATGAAAAGATGTACTCAGGGGAGAGTGCCTATGCAACACATTTGAAAATTGTCAAAATGATAATAGTCATGCCACATCGGAACTTGCAGTTGGCCAGATCAATGTCCCACTACTCCCACACAGCTTTACTCTCATTTGCAACATCATCCTTGATACATCGTTGAATCCGTTTCACAACAAAGAAATACTGTCAAAAAAGGCAAAGACGAGAAGTTTCCATGTTAATTCCACATCAGGAAAGAGGATGTGCAAGAACTCTTCAAGTTCGGAAGCTTACTTGGAAAGCGAAAATAAAAGGAATCAGTAATTTCCCTCTTTCATTTGGGTTTGGCCCTTCGATCAACTTCTTGTCAACTAAGATACCCTTGCCTCCATTTGAAACAACATCTGTGATTGTCTTGACTAAACTGGGAATCCAAGCAGTTCCATTTGGAAGAATCTGCACCCAAATAACAGCAGATCATCTCAGTAATCCCAATTTTTTATTATAAAAATTGACAAGAATTAAGTATGGAAACAATGACATGAAGTTGACGGGATGAGGCAGATAACTAACCTTTTCATTGCTTTCATTCTTATTACACCTCCCACTGTTCTCAACCAAAACAACAGGAATAGAAGAACCCTATAAGAGCAATAGCAAATCAGAAAAATAAGATTTGGGGAAAATATCTGGAGACAGCTTGCCAGATGACGAATATATCAAGTTCAAACACATAAAAATAACACAACCATCACGGGGAAGTTGTCCAAGCAGAGTAAAGCTAATAAAAGCAGTCCAACCAGAGGAAATTTGAGAGGGTGAGTGTCGGCCAAGTTAGTACAAGTACACACAACATGCTCAAATACTTGGGGATCATGTCATCCTACCAGTAAGAAGTGCACTATAAGCAGCTTACCTATCAAAAACAGATGTGCTAGTACCTACACATAAATACTCTATCCCAAAACATTTCTTCCTATGCCACCTTCTACAAATTGAGGTTTACAGGCAAGTGTGTGTTTGTGTGTGTAGCCCTAATCAATTCTAGTTTTGGCTTCATTGCTCAATATTTAGATAATTGGTCTTTGCAAACATGCAAAGGATGGACTATGGAGCAAAAGTTGGTTCTCAATTTAGAACTGTCTTATATATGTATGTCTCGTGTGTGCACAAACTTTTATTGTTAGAATGAGAGAAGTAATACCTTCACTGGCTGTATGAAAAGCCATCCTTGTTTATTTTTACATTTTATTTCAGCTTCCCTTCCAGTCACTCCATGTTGCATACCATTTTATACACATTCCCTACTTAAATACAAAAATAATACCATGTACAATCTTTAAGTACCCAAAATGCAACAGGTGGAAGGGGGCACCCTAGCATGTAAAATGAAGTTATACATATATTTGCACTTCCATATCAGAACAAAATAGTGAGCTTGAATGCAAAGGATCAAAATTTAGGCCTCTTTACACATCACTGATGTTTATTTATTTATTTTGATATGTCAAATCATTAATGTTTATTACAAAGTTAAAACGGTGTTTAAACCAAGGACACGACCCATGAACACACAGGTGAAGCACGAGCAGTCAAGAAAACTAGGATCTACCAGAAAAATATGAAGTCACCCATGAAATCTACAAAAGAGAAAAAAACTTATAGGCACTTCAAACATCTTCCAATGGAATAATAAGACAAAATTAATAGGAGTCTGTAAATAGGCAAAAGACCATTACTTGGGAAGCATGGACACACCTAAAAGGGCAAAGAATCCGTGTCGGACACATGTCAAACACGCCAAAATATGTGTCTGAAATTATTATTTTTTTAATATTTAGACACACCGTGGACGCGCCTCCGATATGTGTCCAACACACGTCACATTCTTGGGGGATTTTTTAATTTATTTTTTAATTTTTTATAAGCGCATTCTAGGGGATTTTTAAGAAAGTTGTGTTGAAATGTAAATATGAGGAACTGTTTAATAACTTCCCGTAGTATGGTAGTCATTACATAATTACTTAAAAGTTATTTTTCATAAAACACTTTTATATTAAAATAATCATATATTTAGGCTTATATTTTAGTTCAAAGATTCAAACTCTTGCACGATCAACTTTGACTCTCTTGTTCTCCCACCGACCAATCTTCGTTACCGGTGGATGGTCTCTCTCTCTCTCTCCTCTTCTTCTAATTTTCTTTCTTCATAAACCATTGGTACCATTTTTTTTTTTTTTTTTTTTTTTTTCACAACAATATTTTTCATTGTTTCCATGAATTTCTTTCTTTTCTATGGATTCTTACCGTCATTTTTAACTAACACCTTGATGTAGGACAAGAACAACCTCAAATAGTTAAAAACCGTTACAATAAATGCAACGAACCCAAGAATAAATCAAGAAACACGACATAAAAGTAAACACACCACACACAAAGGACACAATGATTTTAGCATGATTCGGCAAAGCTTACATCCACGGTAGAGATCTGGCAAAAGTTTTCACTATGCGAAAAATAGGAGATTACAATTTTCTGCCTCACTCTTTTACTCTGCGATTTTCACTGTCTCTCTGTCTCGCACTCCAAAACCTAAACGCCCTTATATATCGGGCTACTATAGAGTACTAATTAGGGTCCACGAGCCACAACCAAAAAACGGGTCCAAAATTTTCCTAGGGGGCAAGCCCCCAAATCCCTAGAGCTTTGGGCCCACACAAAGCTCATCAGTACCAAATTTGGGCCACAACATCACAAAAACAAATAAGAATTTTAGGCTGAATATTCAAAGAAAAAAATTATGGTTCGAGATGCGTTAGTAGAAAAGAGATTTGGAAATAACAAAAGCCTATTGGAATCACACCAACAGGTCTAGGCATCACACTTAAAGAAGGCCTCACAGCCTCATATCTTGTGAATCACTCACCAGAAATTTCATAAGATATTGTATTATTCATTCACTTAGTCACCAAGATTACATCCTACCCCTCTGTAAGTACAACTCATGACCCTTGGATTACCCCATAATTGAGGAATCAATATTTGACTCTAGGATTACCCCATAATTGAGGCAATCAATACTTGACCCTTAGATTACCTCATAACTGAGGTAATCAATACTTACCTAATAGCATAATTATAGTAATAAAAGTTGACCAAAGCTCCCAATTTTTCAAAATTCCATGTGGACCCATATTATCTAGCCTATCCCACCTCGAGTCTTAGAACCCTCCTTTTTATGCCTTTTATACACATTTAAATATTTCTACCATTGATTTCCATCAGTGATGTGTGTACTGTGTTTTGATAATTAGTTAGCCAATGTTTGGTCAATGCTTTAAAGATGTGAGTGCCTAACAACAAAAGTTCATGACACAATGAGTGAGTGTACAGTAGATGGTGTAGTCATGCATGAATGAAGTCATGTGGGGGTTAAGAAGAAAAGTAACCATGAAGAAAACCTAGAGGTTAAGGTAAAGTAACAGCTAAGAAATGAAAAGGTGGTGCTGAGCTGATAAAGTCATTGTATTGAGCTGTGAACATAAATCTGTTGAATGCACCACAAGCCGAAATGGTTGACTGATTCAAAAGCGGTGCATGTGCCTTTGGCTGAAGGCGGTTAAAGCTTTGCCTATAAATACAGGCATTGTAAACTGAGTGTGGTGTGAAGAAAGCTCAGAGAAGAGCCGAAGGAAATGGTGAGTGAAGAGAAAAGAGAGCAAATATTGAGGGCTAAGAGTGAGTGTATTCTTTAAGAAGAATGTGTGTCTTGTTCTAGTGAGTGAGTGCGGAATACCTCTTCGTAATCCGTTGAGAGATGTAATCTTCTCCTTTCCTTATATAAAAATTAGTAGTTTTCTTCACCCGAGCGTAAACCTTGTTCTTTGTTCAGTGTGTTATTTTCATCATATTTTCTCTTTGTTGCCATTGCATATTTGTTGTGTGTGATCTTGGGCGAATTAATTCCTAACAAGTGGTATCAAAGCTGATACAAAAGGGATGAATTCATAACACAATCATTCTCCTCCAGGCATCTTATGTCACTTTTTTCTGGTGATTTCTTTGTAAGTCATAACCATAAAGGCCATTTGGGTTCCAATCCATGATATATTAGATCTCTGTAATTTTCAAGAAAACTTTAACATAATGAAACAAACAAAAAAAGTGTCCGTGGCTGCAGTTATCTAGTACCTTTTGGCTCAAAGCAATTACTTACCAATAGTTTCGTCCCTACTTAAGATATAGAGTAATATAGTAAGAAAACATTCAGTACTTCCTGACACGTTCACCAAATTAATTTGAGATACACTGTTTACACTTGGTTTTTCAATGGCTATAAGATTGAGTCTCATTTTCTAATATACAGTGGACAGAGCCACCTTGAAATGGCTGTTGGGCCCACAGTTGTGCGGATTCACTTTGTAACATGATGGCTAGATGAGGATGCATTTTAAGATATACCTCAATAGCCCCAAGTTTCACCATCCTGGGAGCTTGTGGCCCTTCCTCTTAACAAGCCATCAACAAATGCTTGAGAATGCATATGGGGATGCCTTAAATCGTTGAAATCAAATCAAGGTTGCTCTAGAGCTAACAAATAGGTTTAATCATAAGACATGGACACCTACCCATTCATCCTCAAAGAAACTGAGGGCCCAAGAATATTAACTCACGGCATATAGAGAAACAAACAAAGCATCTGTTTTTATGAACCTTTAGTAAACTTGCACATCAACATTATTGGTTGCCCAAGGTTTTCCTCTAGAGAGATCCCCCACATTTTTTATTCTATTCTTCCGTTGTTGAAAGCTCACCACAATGAAATAGCCTCCAAAAGGTTAAGGAAAAAGTACCTGCATATCTTGTTTCTTTATCCGAGCTCCCAGACGAACAACTTTTAAGAGAGCCTCCGATCTTCTGGAAAAGAAATCATCATAACTCAAACCATCAGGCGGAGAAAGCTGAGCATGAGTGAGAACAATCAATCCTCTACTCCATATTTCTTTACCAAAGCTATCAGCAATAGCTTTCACGACCTGTCTATCCAAGTTATCCACCCTATAAACATCCAAACGGTCCACATACAGCAAAACATCTATGGTCTTGTTCAAAAGGAACCTGTTCAGACAAGCCATCCAAAACAAATTCAAGTTAGTAACACAAAGATTACAGGGTTCCGATATTCAAGGAAAGTAAGTCGCATGTAGAATATATATCAATTAAACATACTTCATACAGACATTGGAAAATATATAATAATGTAAACAAATACAAACCTCTTTATAATATCAAGTGCCTGGTCATTGACACATCCACCTTCAACAATCCCCGGAGTGTCGATGATGTTCAATGTAAATCCTGCCAGTGAGCGTGAAACCATCACAGGTCTTGATCCTTCCATCTGCAAAATCAAAACAGCTATTTTTATAATTCATTATACATATATCATCAATACACGAAAAACCAGACTAGAACTCAAGGATTGTCACCTGGAAAGCACTGATAGCAACTGCTCTTTCCCCTACAATTGAGTTTACAGTTGAAGATTTTCCAACGCCGCCTTTCCCCATCACCAGAATTGTCAAGGTGCTCACATCCTATTATGGTAAATGAACAGTATTTAAATTACAATACATAAAAAGAACACCACCACTTTCATTTTGTTTGTTCGATTGCTAAGGGAACCATGAGCAATAAAAAATAAATTAAAAAAATAAAAAATAAAACCTCATTATCAACTTCAAAAAAAATTATTTCACTTAAAGTATTTCTGTTTGTGTCCTTAACCCAATTTTTTTTCTAGGTTTATGTTTCTTGCTATGTTTTCTCAGCAACCAAGCAGTTTATTTAAATGAGGGAGAGAAAAATTAGACCTCCTGCTCTAGTTTTCCCAACAATTCAAGCATTCTGGTCTGGGTGGCAGCAGGGAACTGCTGAATACCAGTCCATTCTCGGATCAATTGAGACGCCATCAGCAGCTGCAGCCCTAATGAATCACATTCATGTAAAAAATATTTAAAAAGAAGAAGATAATTAACACAAAAAAACCACATATACATACACAAACAGAGAAATGCATATAGAGAAAGTTCGAGTCATGCAAAATTCACCAGACAAACAATAATAAGTAAATATAATCCCAAAAAAGAATTAAAAAAAAAAAAAAGAATTCTTTTTGGGTTTCTCACATTCAATTGTTTTGGATAAAAATGTGTATATGGAACCTTGAAAAGTAGATTTAAGATAAACCCTAAACCCTACCAAATTTCTGTAAGAAAGCGTGTATCACAAAATAACAAAAATATTACTCTGTTCTTCGCACTATGTAAAGATACGCACCAGAAGAGAGTCAAGAGACGGCCTTATCGTTTTATCTTTTCGGTTTTTTTTTTGGAACTATCTCTCTCTAGGGTTCGGATTTCGGACAATTTAGAAGCTAGGGCCTGTTTGTTTTGCGTCTAAAAAAATCTATAATCATCCGTGTATATTGGTATTATTATTGTTAAGGATGTACTAATATTTACCCTCCCTCTTTAAATTAATGCACTTTTTTTGAAAGAAACAAATACATAATAAGGATAAAATAAAAATTAATAATAATAAAAAATCCTCTCAGCTTCAACTCCCCTTATCTAGTCATTGAATTGAAAAATTTATTAAATAATTCATTTTAATTTTGACATATCTTTAAAAACCGTCTCAATTAATTTACTTAGGCTCAGTTTGGTAAGGTGGGTTTGAAAGGAAAAGGAAGGGAAGGTGATGGAGGGTTATAAAAAAATTGTATTTGGGTAAAGTGAGTGGAGAGAAAGGGAAGGAAATGAAAGGGTTTGGAGAGTTAACTTGTGCCTTGAACAATGAATTTCTTAATCTCCCAAAATTGGGAGGAAATGAAGGGAGAGGGAAGGAGAGGCTTGATGTGTGATTTCAGATGCCAATTTTGCCCTTGATTAGTTGATGTAGCAGTTGCCATTTTGAGTTTTGTAGTAGTTTGTAGTTGCAGAGGGAGAGGCAAAGAGAGAAAGTTCGGCTTTGTAGTTGCAGAGAGAGAGAGAGAGAGAGAGAGGGGTTCGCCGTTGAGAACGAGAACAAAGATGGAACGAGAATAGAGATGGAACGAATATATATCTATAGCTATATATATATATATATAAATTTATATTTTAAAATATAAAAGGGCATAATAGTAAATTTATAAAAATAATTCTCCTTCCTATCCTCATCTTTCTTCCCTCAAACATGATTATTATCCTTCCTTTTCATTCATAACTAATGCTATCCTTCTCTTTCAAATTCACCCTACCAAACATAGCCTTAAAGTCCATTCGTCCTAAATCCTTCCCCCTTATATTAAAAATAAAAAATAAAACGAAGCTTTGAGAGGATTGGTTTTCCAGTCAATCCAAACAAGCCGTAAAAGCATTTTCAAATTATTCTAGTCTCTTTTCTCTCCTGTCCTTCCAACTCTCGAGTCCAAACATCAGTCAACGGCTTTCCCTTGCCTCCTCTTTAGTTGAGCACACACGGACACAGTCCGTAACGTTAATGGTGGATTCCCAATTTCAAAGACTGTATAATTTTGCAGGCACATCACATGGACAACCTCAAATCACTACTTCCCATCAACCTCAAGCGCCTGATTACAGAAAGCACACCCGATGATCTTCCATTAACATCTTCCTCACTTCTCGACTTCTTTCTTCACCTACCCCATTTTAACCAAGTAATTCATTTACACACACACACACACACACACACATTTACATACACGAATGCTTCATTGTTCTTGTTTCTTCCTAGTTTCCGTAAGTACCCCTTTTCATTAGAGTCTTTTTTTCTTCTTCTTATTAACAGATTGTTAGGGATTTAACAGACCCAGAGACTGGTCTATGTGGTAAGGACAAGGACGCTGCTCTTGAATCGAAGCGCAAGGGCAACGAATGCGTCTCCAAAGGAGATTACTCCAAGGCTCTCAATTTGTATTCCCAGGTCACATATTCAGATTATGTGTGTGTATATAAATACTTCTTTGACCAACAACAGATATTCAGAATAGACAATTTTGGGTACTTAAATGTATATTTAAGATTTGAATGGTAACACCAAAATGATTTTATTTTCCATAGAATCAAATTCCAATTACATTATACTGGACAGTGTAAAGATACAAATTTACTATATTGTTTTCGTCGTTTTATTCTAAAATATAGAGGGTTTAATTTAGTAATCGACTAATATTTCTTCCTACATGCATTTGGGCATTGTATTTTGGTTATAAAAACAAAAAGTCTATACACACATATGCATCATCATCTCAAGGCTTTAAATGATATAATTCCACTTGGCAAAATTTCTTTAAAAGTAATGAATTTGTGAATTAAATTTGGGTTGCATTTCAAATTTACATTCTATTTGTAGTTCTAAGAAATATGTATGAACATTATATGGGAAATGGATTTTTAATAAGTATTATCATTAAAGAAGAAGCTTGAAATCCACAAGCTAGAGTATTTTTTATTTTTTTTTGAGCATTTCTGCGTATGTAGTGGTGTATGAAATCAATTCTGTTCTCTCTTTTGTTTGCAATAGACTGGTGAATTAGTTTTGCTCGCCACCATTGTTGTTTCTATTGTTTGGTCCCTGCTGGTATAGACCGTATAGTTGAACCTTGAGCTACCATAACTGTGCTTTTGTCCTTCCTTCTACCCTTCTAACTAGTAGTTAATACGGTGCTCAATAACAAGAGTTGTTTTTCTTTTATTTCATTATTATTTTGTAATGGTGCATAACAGGAATTTTAATTACACCCTTACTGTTGTTTACCCCCTTGCAAACTATGAACAGGCACTTCGGGTTGCTCCAACAGATGCTGATGACATGGACAAAAATCTGGTGGCAACGCTATATGTGAATCGTGCATCTGTATCGCATGTTTGTCCTACTCTAGTATTCATGCGTACTTCATATATGTTTAAATATTAATATTGAATAGTTATGAGATTTATTTGATTTTATGTCTTGCATGAGATTATTTTGGTTGGTTGAGATATCGAGTTTGCACTGACTGACATTCAATCAAACCTTATATCCATCCACATAGGGATACATGAATCTCTTTTAGCTAATGCCATTTTGATTTCATGTATTGTATCACTATATATCAATGTTTCTTTTCTAAATATATCAACTTGAACTATGCCATTCATTATCTGTGTAATTATTGGTCAAGTTGCACATAAACAAACCATCTGAATGTATAGATATAAGCTTTCATAATTGAAAAATGCAAAAAAAGGTGTATGAGCACGGGTTTATTACTTTACTGTGTTACCAAAAAATTCTACTATTGTTATATGTCACACATAATCCAGGAAACTCCTATATAAATATCTTATTCTGAGAGCGAACCAGTTGACTGCCTTTCAAAAAGCGCCCCACCCCCCACCCCCCATCCTCATCCTTTCTGCAACACACTTTCTGTCTCCATTCACACACACACAAACAGTGCCAAGTTGGCGGCCTTTTATATTTGTTAGCTAAGTTAAACAATCCACTAATCCTTCTCTGACCTTTCTTTGCTACTTTATCCAACTTGGTGGCCTTTTGAAATTGGGAACGCCTTTTTTTTTTTCTTCCTGAGAATACTTAAGATTTTATGAAACTCGAAGTAATTAAGTCTTTATAAAATTGGATATTGTTAGTATTATACTTTTCATATTTATCAAAAAGTATAATTACTATTTGCCATGTCCTCGTCTTGTCTGTATGCTACTTTTAAAGATTTATCATGTTGATGTGTCCGTATTGTGCGTGTTTATGTTCCATGTCCTTATTCCTGCTTCTTAGGCTGCTTATACATTAAAAGCCCAAGTGCACTCAGATAACTTAAAAGCAAGTATATTCTGTATTTTAGGGTGCTTGACGTTTGAAAACCATCTTTTCATTACTGTCATCTATGCACTTTAGTAGCCCTTAAGCATACAGCTGCAACAAATTTGTAATACAACATGGTTATGTGCTCACTGAGCCCACTTTCATCTTGTTTTGGAGTACTGTTTAGTTAATTGCTAAACTTTGGAGTTGCAGATGTGCTAAGCTCTTTAAGGCTAGAGTATTAGCTTGAGCGGGTCCAACAGGCCAAGTTTGAGGGCTGTTTGTTTAATTTTCTCATGGCATACATAAACTTATTCCACATGAAAAATTGATATTGAATGATCATCGAATTGCAAGAATTTTATGTGACAAGAAAACCCACACTCTCAAATCCTCGATGTCTCCAAGGATGATGTAAATAAAAAAGGCCTTTTCATTAGTTTTTTCTCTTCTTATTTTGCAGTTTCACTATGTGATGGATTTGTCATCCTTCCATACTTTGTACTTCCCTTGTTCTAATCTCAATAGATTGTTTGTTTCGTATCGCAAAAAATACAACTAAAATGAGTTTTCGTATTATCAGTATCAAATTTTGATATAGATTGATTTAGTTACCAAACATTGTGTATTTATTTATTATTATTATTATTTTTTTGGTTCTTTAGAAAATGGGTCTTCTAGTGGAGTGTCTACGAGATTGCGACCGGGCTCTTGTAATTTCTCCAAGTTATGCAAAGGTGAAAATGCTTCCACTTTTATTTGTCACTCTATGATGCTATATCCTTCTTTTTCCATCAGTTTAATGCAAGCAAATTTCTGGAACTTTATTGGAAAAAATATAAAATAAATAAATAAGAAGAAACAACGAAAAACAGAGAGAAGAAAATTATATATTTTTTAAAACTTCTTTGCTAGTTTATCTTTTGTCTTTTCTTTGACACGGAATAGGCAAGGTCCAAGCGAACCCCAATGAAAGCTATCTAGTATGTTCTGAAAATATATGTACAACTGAAGTTAATTTCACCTCGAAACAACCTTTTTGTGCTAGTCCACCTTGAATGCCTGTCACATTGCAACAATTTTGTGATAAAATTGCCACTGAGGTGTTACTGTAACAACTTTTTCAGTTGTAAATCATCACTTGATAGGCTCAACTCGAATTGTTATCACTTGGCTGATATTATGTTATGCTTGCAAAATGTCAATAAGGAAAAAGTGTAGCAAGTTTGGCCAAAAATATTTGAAAATGGAAGTGCTTCTGTGATGTTGTTCTCTTCTTGAATTTAAGTTTCTGCCAGTCATCACATTGTGGTTGGCATTTTTCAGCAATAAATTATCTTCACTGCAGGCATGGTATAGGAGAGGTAAGGCAAATGCTTCTTTGGAAAATTATGAAGATGCAAGCCGTGATTTAAATGTTGCCATGAACCTGGAACTGTCTTTGGGTGGAAAGAGACAGATAGAGAGTGAGCTGAAGTTAATCTCAGACCAAAATAAGGGGACAAGCAATTCATTGGATAAATCTAATGAGAACAACTTGGTTTTCAGTTTTCCTCAGTATGATATTCATATCTGTTAACTATATCCATATCTCATTTTTGTTTTTCTCATTTGTTAGTCTGTCTTTGAAAAGAGTCATACCTAGTGATTTGTTAATCTGTCATTGCTTCAAGTTATTCCTTATTTACATTTGTAGTCTACCCTTTTGATGATGTTCATCTTTAGCCATTAGGTGTTCCAAAGTCATTTTACTATGCTAGATGGCACAATTAGTTGATAAAGTCGACAAGCTCTATCTTTGATCATGAACTTGATACTGAAGCTGTATTTGATATAGTTTGAACTCAACTCAATACAGCCAGATCAAGAACAATATTAAATAACAAGGAACATTCGAAAATTATATATCTGGATAAAATCAATAGATATAAAGTTGTACAGCATTTGGAAATGATTATGGTTCACATTGCTTCACCCCCACTAATTTGGAAATGATTATGGTTCAATTATATTTTAGTTATTTTTTGTTCTTTGGAATAGGTGGTAGGTGCTTTTCATTTTTGTTCAATTTGGTGAAAATGTTTTGCAAGAACTCTGAGCTTCCTCGAACTCATTTTTTTTTTAACTGAGAAATGGTTGGCGTTTAGCAGTTCATGAAAGGAAATTGCTGCCGGAGAATCAGGGGTTGAATGGTAAACCATGTGGAGATAAAAGTGGGCCATTCTTGAAGTGAGCACTCTTGGAATTCTGATAGAAATAGAAAGCTCTTTTAGAAGTGACTGATGAATGGTGAAGTTTTGTTTTGTTTGAGCACCAAGTTCAAACTTAAAAGTACATTGGTCACTTAAGTATGTATGTCATTGCAATTGAGTTTCCAGATTGAGGAAACGGATCTTTATATCTTGACAGATATATGTTCTGGACCTCTTGAAGGACAGAGTAAGTAGGTCAAAACTCATTATCATGATTCACGAGTTAAATGCTGAATGACAACCTCAAAATGATTTAATATCAGAGGCTGGTTGGTAAACTGAATGGTTTTTATCACATTTCCAGCATAGCATTTGTTGTCGAGGTTCTGAGTGGTTCATGCGTGTTTCTCAACCTACCTATTAGGAAACTGTTTTACATCAAATTATGTTTATAAAGTCCTTTCTAGAAATTATTTTGTTTCCAAACCGAGGTCACTTTAAATTTGTGGCCTTTTTGCATGTGGATTTGGGTGTATACTGATATTTGTTGGCAGCTGCTGTTCATATTGTGATCCTTAGAAAATACAAGTAGTGAGGGGCAGGTCCATGAGTCTGGGTTTAGATCTGACTCGTGGGGTCTGAACATGCATTGGGATATTATTACCTGCAGAATGGGTGTTTGAAGTTTTAAAATTCTTCCTTCCTCTATTGTGATAACAAGGCTGCTTCTGTGCTACAAGTCTAGCTCACAACCATCTCATAGAGTCTGTACTCTTGTATCTCAAGAAATATTACCGGCAGTGTGGGTGTCTTAAGGTTCAAATCTCTTTGGTTCTCTGATGTGATAACAAGGCTGCTACAAGTCTAGCTCACAAACCCATATCTCTATATCATTAAACCAAACATGTGGTTGACCTGTCAAGGAGAATTGAATACAAAATTTACATATGTTTCCAACATAATAATAGAGCACCTTTTGGCTGATATTATAACACGAGTCAGCATATTTTATTACGAGTCAATAAATTACCATTATAACATTTTTGATCTTGGGCACAATAGATCTCAATCCTTGTAGTCGAGGGAGAGTTTTAATAGGGTTTTAAGAGTACACAATAGTTCTTAATTTAGAGGACATGATGCAATTTTACTGTTGTACATAATAATACTAGTACTTTCATTCTTTCTTCTGCTGTTCTACTAAAATAGTAGTAACCTTGTAACTTTGCTCTGCTTACCTCTATAAAATGCCGATGACACAGCAGGATTAAGGCAATCTCTCCCACTTCTCATATCTTCTTCTACTTCTAGAGTAGTGCATACGTTTTATTTGTATCCCAAGTATCGATAGTTCTAACTTCCAAAAAAAAAGTATCGATAGTTCTATGACGTGTGATTAGGTATAATCTTTTATTTATTTAAGGAGGATGGCAGTTGTCAATGTGAGGTGAGGTCACCTTATAACTATCTGCATTACCTTGACTTATCTTTTTCCATACCTCTTAGCAACAGCATGCTCATTAAAGAAGGATAAACTATTATATTTATCTGAGTGTTATGTTTTCAGGGTATGTTACCTTAATACCTTCTGTTTAGTATAAGTTCTTCATTTTGCCAGCATTTATTTTATTAGTTATTTGTGTGATGGTTATATATATTTTTTCTTGATTTCTTATAATGTAGGTCTTCTGTGACAGATGAGGAACACCAAATAAAATTGCAGTGTGTCTCTACGCCAAATAAAGGGAGGGGTATGGCCTGTTTGACTGACATTCCTCGAGCTTCTTTAATTCATGTTGAAGAACCTTATGCTGCGGTATGTGTAAAATCTTTCTTATTGATTATATCAGTTGCTCTAGATTTTCTAGGTATTAGTTTGCCTCTTGGATCCTAGTCATTGTTTTTTATTAATATAATTATTAACAAATGTACTTCTCTTGAATATATTCTCCAACAACTATAGTGGTGGTATCATGATGATTTTTCTGCTTTGCGTTTTTCTTATATCATTTTTTTTTGGAAATTCTTTTTTCTTATATCATTCAATAAAATGTTGCTGTTGAAAATGTCTTCATAAAACCATCACCAGTTCCTAGTATTAGCATATATTCCATGACTATTTGAGACACCAAGGCAATGCAAGAACATGAGCTTGAACAGGCTCTCTTGTTTTCCTACTCCAAGTAAAATGAGCAAGGAAATAAGAGGATTGGCCTCATTTCTTAATATCACATATTGCAATGGATTGGGATTTAAAATTATGACCAAAAGAAGAAAAAAGAAGATTTAAAATTACGGAAACGTATTCTGATTCTTGAACAACGCAACTATTAAATTGGCTGGTTTTGTTGACGATATTAAGCACCTTATGAGTAGTTGATGACGTGGTATTAGTGCAGGTTGGTGACATTGGTCCAGTATTCAATTCCGATGCATAATTGATACTATAAGATATCCACTTGCATGGTCCACTCATACGGTGGCTTTTAGCCTTAACTTGAGGTGGTGTCTTGACAATATAGTTAAATGCTGTTATTTACTAGGTTAAGCTTTTAGAATAGTTGGTTGTTTAACTTTTCCAAATTAATAAGAATCTGGTGGTTAGGGAGGGGGTGGGAATCTGACTGCCGTTCACAACTACTGGGGAAACCCAGATTCTTGCATATCTCAACGATGTTTGAAACTTGAAAGTAGTGCTTCACAGATGAGGAAAAGGAAACATATAGGCACGTTATAATGTTAGTGAAGAGGTAGAAATGCAATCAATTCCAGAAGAGATAGATAACATATCTTACAAGCATAATAAAATGATAAACTAAAAGCCGCTAGTGTGTGTGTGTGGTAGTTTTGCTCAATGGAATAGATGTTTATTTATTTTTTCCTCTTGACATGGGTTTGAGGATAAATATTATTCTTGCATTCATTGTCAGAGTAGTCATATACTCATATGGTTGCTAATTTGATGCAGCTAATTACTCAGTTCTGGACGGATATAATTCTTTCTTGCCTCACTGATCTGCAGATCATATTGAAGCAGTGTCGGGAAACTCATTGTCACTTCTGCTTGAATGAACTACCAGCGGATACAGTTCCTTGTTCATCATGTTCAACACCATTATATTGTTCCCGGCAATGTCAAATACAAGCAGGAGGAAAAAAGTTGGGGAATAATTCAAAGAATTATGGCATTCACGAGACTTTCTCGGGTGATCTTGAAAAATATATTTCAGATATTACTTCAGCCAATGTATGTGATCCGGTTGATGAATGCTTTGCTGAACATAGACATGAGTGCCAAGGTGTACATTGGCCTGCAATATTGCCATCTGACATAATTTTGGCTGGTCGAGTTCTAGTGAAGTCCATAGAGAAACAGAGACATGTTAAAGATGCTTCCAAACTCATAGGAACTTTGGTATTTGTTATGATTACTTTTGTCTAGTGATCTTCGATTTGGTTGTTTGTATTGTTTTATGTTAGGATCTAACTTGGCAGCTGGTGGCCTTCATTTCTTGTAGGAGCTTTCTCACAATTATGTAAACCTTCCTCCAGAAATCAAATTGGAGTTACATATATATTCCATCATTTTGTTGTACTGTCTTCAGCATTGTTACGACACTGAATTTCCAATTAGTGGGGTTACTGTTTCACAGGTGACATCCCTTTCCCTCCATTTCTCCTCTCTTTATGGGTCACCTCTATGTCCATTAGAATGTTCTATTATAAATACAGCTTCAGGATGTATGTTGTTGTACTGCTTTAAGTGAATTCTCTTAGAAGGAAAAATATCAAAATATTGGTTCAATAATTTTGCGTGTCTGAAAACCCTTATATTTGCAACTTCGATTTTTTCCGAAAGAATTGTGATGTGTACAAGATACCTTGATCAGTTGATTGTTACTTCACTGTAATGTTAATATCATTCTATTTATTTTGATATGATTTTAAAATAATCGCATTTATCTAAATAGAATAGGCTGTTAGGTTAACCTGAAAATGATTTATGTTTTTAAACTTTAGGTTTATGTTTTTCAACCTGGTAATAAACAACTTGGAATCCATTTGGACCTGAATTATTACTTTCTTATAAGTTTAATATTATTTTGATTGATTATAAACAATCACATTCATCCAAATATGAATGAGCTATCAGGTTAACCTGAAACGTTCGTGTTTTTAATATTTTTTGTCCTTGACTTGGTAAGAAACAACTTGGAATCCATTTGGGAATTTTGTACCCCACTCAAATCCAGTCCATGCCAAACTCTATTCTAGCGTCCTTCGCTAGTCACTTCTACTCTTTAGTTAAGTGTTTCATTTTTTGTATGTGTTTTGGCTTCCCTTTCAGGCATTAGGTGCCTCTCTCCCCACTCTTTTTGTTCTTACTAGCTTGCTTTACTTTATCAGGTTTGAGTAATGCCTATCACGACTCTAGAATTGGCACAACTTGGGGGCCATGCCACCATATGGTGAGGAAAAATAAAAAAAGAGTTTCTCAAGTACTCAACCAGAATTGTGTGTATATATATATAAAAAAAAATAAAAAAAGACACAATTTTCTTATATTGGACTGAAGTTCAAGGATACTGCATCTGCACACCTTTTAATATCCAAAAAGGAACAAGCAAATGAAAACATGTTGGTTTTAGGGGCTCTTATGCTGTAATGGGTTCTTGTTTTCTCCTGTTTCTTGTTGGTAAAATTCCCTACTGTTAGCTTTCTTGACAAATTTCTTATGCATGATAAAAAAATAAAATCCTGTTTATATCTGTTGACAGTCTTTTCATATTAACTATTTCTCTACTAGAATGTTGGAAATCTTCCGGAGAGGATGATATTAACCTCAATAAAAAATTTGAACAGAGAGGGGAGCTTCAATGCTGCATATATTCCACACATTATATTGTGATTCATAGTTACCTTCTTTTATCTTTCATGGATGCAGTTTGTTATCCTTCTTTCTCAAATTAAGGTGAACTCTATGGCTATTGTTCGTATGAAATATCTAGATGTATATGGGCCACTGACTCAGTCCGGAAAATTTTCTCCTGCGGGGGATGCTTTAACAAGCAACGTGGAACAGGTATGTACAAGTGTTGTTTTTCATTTTTGCTATTTATAACATTTTCTCATGAACTATCATTACAGTAATATTGCATTAGCGATTTCATGTATCTAATATTTAATCTTTTAAAATGTGTAATTCAAGCTGTTCTCCACTTCTATAACATAATTGTCAATATTGAGAACCAGGAAAGGAGTATATGGAAATTAAAAACAGTTAAAATTCTTCTTTGGCATGCAAGTTTCTTCTTTGCTGCGGTAATTAACGTATTAAAACAATACTAGCTTTGTGCATTACTGCTTTATTTTTCCTTGTTCTGTACATATTTTTCATGTTTATGTTGCTTATGTTTATTGTAGGCTTGCATGCAAAGCATGGGGAATCACATATTAGTTTGATATGAAATTTATTATGATAAAAAGGTATACAAGGAAAGATGGGGATCTCTTCACGGTAAAAAACTTGCAATCACCCTAATAAATAAATGAAGTATTTTGAATAAAACCATGGTAGATACCAAAACCAAGAATGAACTCAGTTACACTGCAATGGACTTCTTATATATGAATCCGAAGTAATAGCTTCAATTTTTTTCCATGACAGTTGGATTGTTACAAGTCTGGGATCATGAGAGAGAGATGCTCGTAATTGGTTTAAGATCAGAGTTTTATCTAATTTACTGAGAAGCCTCAATAGGCCCTTAGCAGAATTCCTCCAATAGCTTAAAGTTGATGCAAAACCAGCTTGCCATGAGCCTGGTCTACTCAAAGGGGGCAATTTTTGTATTGCCCCAAATGAAGGCTTACTTCCCTTAGGTTGTGCAAACTAAATCTGTGCTCACTATATTTTCTCCCGAGGCTAATAAACTTTGTAGCTCAATTGTTCTTCCCTTGTGGTTACCAATGTGGCTACTTTTGCATAACCCTTTTCATCATGTTGAAAATGCTAGACTTACTTTTGTGGTGGCAAAGATTGAATTTGTGGCATTAAGTCCACCACTCATCTTTTTAAGAGAGAAAGTATCAATAATTTTGTTGCTCACCCTACTGATTGTAATCCATAGCATCACCATATGGGGCACAGTTTTGCATGCTAGAAACAATAGGGAGTATACATTACAAGGTCAGGCTCACTTATCCTGATAATTGACCATTATTATTATGAGAATGGATAATGAAGGAAGATGTACTTCATATTTTATCAACTGACATGCAAAATAAGCATTTGCTTGGAAAAATGAGACTTAGTGCCTCCTTCACAATAAGTCAACTCATGAGCTTTGACCTTTTTAAAGCAAACTCAAGTTAAAGGAGATTCACTAGACAAAACGTTAGGTTGATGAAGGTGTTATGGCTCTAGTTTGGAATCATAACTTTCTGAGAGGGAAAATAAGGGAGGACATTGTAGAGGCATCCGATTGCTAGGAGCCAAGTCCTAGGTCCAATGATGAGTACAACCTGCAAATTATGCTACTCAGCAAGTTCCCTTTTCTTTTCCCCAGTAAGTAAACATGGTGCTTTGCAAAGAGCAGTAATATTCATAATCAAATGGTAGTTTTTGTTATTTCACTCTTTTCAACTTCAGTTGAAACAGAAAGTCTTTCTTCTAACTGTGATGCCGTTTAAATTGATATTATTTTGTAGGTCAGAGTAGGTCTAGCTATCTATTCAGCCGGCTGTTTGTTTAACCATTCCTGTCAACCAAACATCCATGCATATTTCCTCTCACGTACTCTCCATATACAATCAACAGAATTTGTGGCAGCTGGGTACCCACTGGAGCTGTCTTATGGTCCACAGGTACTCTTACTCTTAATTAATAGCTTTCATTTCCCTGTTCCTTTTATAGGGTATTTTGCATGATATTGCTATCACTTTTAACATATTGCTAAGGCTTTAAATGAAACTATCTTCAGATAGAAGTGAATGGCATAAACTAAGTTAGTGTCTACTTTTCTGTATGCTTCTGTTCTGCCTGGAACTGCCATTGTGATTTTGGTGTTTATCTGTACAATGGGAAACATCAAATCTGGAAGAACTCCGCAATCACCTTATGCAATTAATTAATGTAAACTTTGATTTTCCAGGTTGGGCATTGGGACTGTCAAGACCGCCAACAATTTCTGGAGGATCAATACTCATTCAGATGTCAGTGCAGTGGCTGTTCAGAATTGAATCTATCTGACCTTGTTTTAAATGCTTTTCGGTGTGTGAAGCTAAATTGTTTTGGCGTAGTCTTAGATAGCTGCAGGGTCAAGTACGAAAACCAGAAAATCCACCACTTCGTTGGTGTTTGCAGTACGGACCCTTGCATTCAGGTATTATATATTCTCCAATTCTAGTATGTGAATCTCTTTTATATGACAGACTGATTTTCTGAGAGGATAGCCATCAGATAGACCTTAGGTATGGGTCTTGGTAGCATTTAAAATTTTCAAATGGAAGTCACATGTGAGGGATTGAGGTTGATACATCCTCAATAGGTATCTCTATTACAAGATTTCTGATACAGAAGTCCACATAAGTGGACGGGCTTATTCATCCTAGTTATTTAGCTTTTGTACACAGGAAAAGTGAGTTTGAAAATGCTAACAATTATAGGTTACACTCACCCGACTTGGTTAACTTTTGGCGCTCAAACGTGGAACTCATTAGTGGTATGCTAACTTTTGGCACTCAAACGTAAAACTCATTAGTGGTATGTTTTGTACTCATGACACTATTGAAAATTGAAATGCTACTTGTAGCAATAGTTATGGCCTAACCTGATGTGCAGTGGGTTAAAATCATTTATCCTATTTCCTGTCTCTGAATCTTCTGACATTATGAAGGTTGACAATCTCAAAAATGATGAGATTTATAAAGTGGCTCACCATGTGTTTGAAGAAATCAATCACACCCATCAGATTGAGCCTGGATATTGTTTGAATTGTGGTTCGTATCGTGATCTGGAAGCTTCAAGTGCAAGAGTCAATGAAGCTGAGATTTATATCAGAAGGTATAGTTAAATTTTATTGAAACTTTTTTGTTCTTAAATTTTTGACAAGAAATCAAAATATATTAATAAGGAGAAAGGAATTCAAATATCAAACAATGAGAGATACATTACTGCATATAGGAAACAGCACACAAGGACAATAAGAATTTCCACCACACGTGGATGCAATAAAGAACTATGACACACGTCCCTACTATATTTCATGTACAAACCCCAAAACACCATTTCCAACAAGTGCAAGGAGGGTTGGGTGACATGTAAACAATGTCAAAGTGGTTGCCCGTCTTTGCTAAAATTCTGCCCCCTTATAGCTGATCTTGTAAATTGGAACCCAACTAATCTTCATTTGAAAAGTGGAAGAAGAGTCGAGAATTCTATTGTCCAAGTGACCATAACACCAGGAGGTATAGGATCCTAGAGTCACCCACTTAACTACTCATCATAGCCTCCCTGAACCAAGCAACGAAAAAACCTCATTGAGTAAGCTTCTCTAAGGTCCTCTAGTAGAACTAACATATCAACCTTAATGGGGGGGGTGCCCACCCCCCCCCCCCCCCCCCCCCCCCCCCCCCCCCCACACACATGTGTTCTCCAAAATACTTCGAGTTTCAAATTTAACCTTGATTTCCTACAGAGCAAGCCATTGAAGTTAAACTTGGAGGTTTCCAAGAAATATAGATCTCATTCCTGTGGTTCTAAAAGAGCTACGGTCTCATTGAAGCTTTTCTGAATGCAGACTTTCAGACCGTATACGGTGGACCATGATCTAATTAAGAAGACCGCCGAACAAGATTTGTTGTTACAATAGACAGAATGAAATTAATATGTGCTGTATATTTATCTTACTGATTTGGAAACTTCTAAGCTTGAGCCGATTGATTTGTGCATACACATTCACACGCTATATATACATACATTAGTACATATGTATTACCTACACTAATGGAAACATACTTATATACATGCACACATATATTTATTCATGTATATTTTATTTATGATTCTCTATCTGGATAATTTCTCATATTGAAATGTTTTGTTGGACAGATTGCATGATGCAATAATTTCCAATGAAGTCCCAGCTAATAAACTTTTAGATGCTTTGAGATCTCTTGATATGTTGAGATCAACATTGCATGCATACAACAAGAAAGTTGCACAGGTGAGTTCTAGACACCCCTCAATGCTATTTGAGCAGCAACTTGATTTATCTTTCTATAATGGGATAAAAATCCCTCGTGTTCATGTATAGTTACCAGTAAGACAGTGGATACATTGCATGAGCTATCTTGGGCTGCACTTCACCGGCTGAAGCATAATTTGATAATTTCAACTGTAATTATAATTACCAAATGAAAACAATTTGTTTGACCATACATACTGTTATTTTCCAGGTGGAGGACAATATTGCGCAGGCATTTTGTCTAGTTGGAGAACTACAACCTGCAATGGACCATTGTAAAGCATCAATTGAGGTAAATCTTTCATTTAAGCATAAGAGTCATCATGCCATCCTTCCAGAAAATTGTGTTTTGCATGCACCACTTGTTTGTCTCTAATGCATATCACTTAATCCCATAAACCAATACACAAGGTCATGGCATTCCATTACTGCTCCTCCTCATCACTATAGAAGTTTAGCACTCCTCAATAAAGATCCATAAAGAGTTGATCTTAGAACTACATATACTTGAACCTTGAATGTCACCATACCCCCTTGTTGCACCCCACAGTGTGTTGATCAAGTAAAGATGCCCCATCTGGAATGATCATAAAGATGAGTTACATTTCTGAAGAATAAATAAATAACCAAACAAAACACAATGTAGATTCCTGGTGCTCCTTCCATTTTTTTCCTACAGCATAGAATACGTTTTCTAAATCACCACCACGAACAAGAGGAACCCTTTCAAGGAAAGCATATGGAATAGAATTCCTCCCAGAAATTTATTATCATAAAGTTTATTTTAACAATATCTTAAACGTATTTCAATATTGCTAGAAAAGATTGGAGAGAGAATTAATGTGGCCGACCCCTTTCATACGGGATTAAGGAAAGGATGATGATTTCAATATTGCTATATGGTTGGATATATTCTGATGTACGTGTTTACTTAATGGGGCTATATTGCATTTATAAACAACAGACACCTTCTGATAATGCTCTTATTTGGTAAGAAGCTTTCTTGATTGTAGCTTTTTTGGGGATCATTGCAGTTCAGAATCTCATTGCGAATGCTTGTAACATCTTCCTTCATCTCCGCCATTAATATTGCTTCATTGTCGTGATAAATCTGTTGGAACCTTTTGCTAACAAACATCACTAAAACCCCTCAATAACTTATTGAAATTCATCAGAATCTTCTGGGTTTTCCCCTGGATAAGCTCTGTTGAATGACCCTCTTAAAATGCAGCAACACGAATAATAGAACCGTGGATTCAACTCGGCATAAAAGGAATATTAGCTGCGGGTATTATTTTTATCTTCTATTTATGACTGGATCACCTTTCTAATCCACTTATGAAAATACATATACACACATAGATACAAGGTAATTTAATCTTACTATCGGAGAAGTCAAATTCAAAAGAACTGCTATAAGGAAGCTCTAGTGAACTATCCTATGCCGTTGCTGTTTAGAACAATCACCAATCTTATTGCTACTGACATCTCAGTTGATCTTGTACAAAATTATTGAGTCAATTTAATGCTGTTTAAGATATTGCATCCTCGGTCGAAAAAGCTCACCGTCTTTAACTTTAGGGTTGGTGATTGTCTTAATGGTGAAGTACTGATAAAGCTGAAGACGAGAGTGAGAACGGGAGGTGACAATAGGAGATGGTGGTACTTATCACATGACTAGAAGAAATAAAGCCCTGCCATTTCTCTCTCTCTCTCCTAACATTTATCAGTACTTTTCACCAAGGGATTTTTCCTCAATTCAAGGAGCCATAGAGTCGTGATACTTTTCGTCTATCTATGTGTGTGTGGGGAATCACGGAGCCAGGAATTTTGAATTGGGGGTGCCAAACTAAAATTGTGTAACTAAAATTTGGAAAGAGAATTGGTAAAGAAAAATTATAGCTAAAAAATTAATTTTTCTTAATTGTTTCAATTTTTTTAACATTGCAATTTTCGAAAGGGAATTTTTTGAGTACTTTGATTCCACTTTGGCAAAGATATATATAATTATTGCCTTGATGAGAGATTAGTAATAAAAAGAAGTTCCATTTTAACTAAAACAAATCCTGCATATTTTAATAAAACACAATTATTAAGAACAAAATTGAGAAGTACTTTAATAACTTTTACGAGGAGTAGCTCTATAATTTTTCATTTAACAAGTGCCAACGAAAAATATTAGTATATAATTTAAAATATTTTTCCTTGCAAACACCATCTAACAAAAATGTCTGAAAAAAAAAAATGGTGTTGGCTCAAGTGGGCAAGTTATTTGGCCTTGCTGCCTCAAGAAGCAACAGGTCTAAGGTTCGACTCCTCTTGGGTGCAAATAATTCCTTGGAGGGGTGTGTGTGAGTACCAACTAAGAAAAAAAATGTCTGGAAAAAAAAAATCATGTATCTTTATTAAATATCAGGACACGTTTGTATAAGTTATCATTTTTCTCTCTTGAATTCCAATAATTGATATCACACATGTAATAATGTTATGTCTCAGTATACCATAAGAATGAACTTAAATTTTTGTTTCATAATATTGGACTTCAAAAGTAAAGGCTAAGAGGGTTAAAGCTAAAATTTAGTTTTAGAAAATAAAGTTATATTTATTTCCTATCTATAGTAATTAGAAAAATCTAGTCCCTTCCTCTTTCGTAGCATTATCCTCTTGGATGCAGTTGCCATCTCCTTTGTTAATCTGTATGATGAAGTGCTTATTTTGGTCAACATATATGTGTGTGTGTGTGTAAACAAAAAGAGTGTCATGAGATGCTCTATGAGTTACTGAATGATGGCAGGCTATTTGTGGATTAAGTTTGATAATTCTTTTACTTGATGACTGCTCACGAAGCAGGTTATAAACAAAAATCTTCAGGTTTAGTTAAAAATATATAAATAAATTCTTAATTTGCATTTACCGGTCAATTTTATTTTTTCAGTATTTTCTTATAATACATTAGGCAATTATTTACGAGTCAACTGGGATAGTGTAAATTAACTACTCTGAGCTGCCCCACTCTTTAAATGTAGCATAGCTGCCAGGTTTGGGTGTATTTTTTGGTTCCCTCATGGTCTGTGGAGTATCTTATGTTGAAAATGGACTATAATCAAATTTCTTGCCATGGTTTTGTCTGGGATATTTCCTGCTTTGATTGATTTAAGAAGTTTAAAATCATTATGGTACCTTTGGTTGTTCTATCTAGTTTTTCCTTTCACTAGTAGTGAGATCTGATTGGGAATTTATTGTTCTATTGATTTGGCAGATCCTTGAAAAGCTCCATGATCCTAATCACATTGTTATTGGAAATGAATTGGTAAAACTTTCATCCATTCAGTTATGTATGGGTGACAGTGCGGCCATGGAGAACATAAATCGTGTGGGTTCGATTTTTTTCCGGTACTATGGATCTCACTCCGACATAATATTCCCATATCTGCAATACCTGAAGACAGAAGCTCACAAACTTCTTCAGTAAAGTGTCATTCTATGCTTACCGTTCAAGTTAACAATGCATTAAGAGCCCTAATGCATAAATCACATTGTTCGATCTCCCTATCCCTATGGGAGGGAGAAAGAACTACTTTTCCTGAGTCACAAGATGCATTCATCCCAACTGTTGCCGTCTGTTTGGCATATTTGCCTTGTAGAGAGATGGCTAGTAATGAGCCCATGGCTTTTAAACATTGCTGGTGAAGTTGTTCCTCTCACTGATGCTTAAAGTCATAAAAAGTAGTTAACATTTCAGATGATTGCAGATTTGTATATTGATTTATTTATTTATTATTATTATTTTAATTTTTGGTTCTTCATTGGAGTAATGCAAAAGGAATATAGCATATTTTTACAAGATTAGTATTTCTGAAAGTGTCTACTGACATCTCTTGAAATCTGCTATGGTTGGTTGAACTTGACATGCTTTATGAAAGCTGTAATTGCTGTGTGAAGCAGAAGTCAGACGGTCTCCCTATTAATTTATTGATGATAACATTTGGAATCTGCCAAACCATAAAACATGAAATATTTTACAACTCAAGGGAATGAGTGCCAAATATTTGTTGTAGACTATGGCAATTTTGCATGAACAGGAAGGGGATATTACTCAAGCTTGCAAAGCCACTTGCATAACAAATCCAGTTATGAATGGCCATAGCCTTTAAAACTTAGTTCTTTAAGGGCCTGTTTAGTAACAGAAATTATTTCCTACTTTCTACTGTCAATTTTGAAAAAGCAAAAGTAAAATCATGTTTATTAAATTACTTTCACTTTTTTATTTTGAGGAAGTAATTCCTAAATTTGTGAAGAGAAGAGAAAGTAAGAAAATTTTACTTTCTCTACTTCCTATACTGTGCGGAGGAAGTGATTTCAACACTGTAGCGCTAAATACTATAGCGCTAACTTTCTAAAACCTAAAACCTGTCTCGTTTATATCATCATCCGTAACATGCCCTAGCCTCTCGCCTCATATCTCTGCTTTAAGAAAGTTCTACCCGTCATCCCTGATCTGCGAGCATCGATCAGCAACGAAGACTCAACGGCCGACCAACACTTCTCGCCAGTAAGTTTGCCCTCTCTTCTCTGATTCTTCCTCTTCTCAGATTTTCTTTCTTCGCATATGCTCCCTCTCCTCGTATATGAAGATTTTGCCCTAGAATCTGCAATTTCTCTTCCCGAATCTGTATGTGTATATCTGTATCTGCAATTTCTCTTCCCGAATCTGTACGTGTACGTGTATATCTGTATTTGCAATTTCTCTTCCCGAATCTGTACGTGTATATCTGTATCTGCAATTTCTCTTCCTGAATTTGTATGTGTATATCTGTATGTGTATATATAGCAATTTTATTTTTTCACAAGAGAGATATGCAGCTCAATTTTTGCCTTTAATGTAGTGGAAATATGGTGCCTGGGACACCATAAATTGATTCACTAGGAACCTAGGAATGATCCTAGAAATAGATGATTTTTGTATGTCAGTTCATTCTGTTATGAGTGGCAAAGAAAAATTACAGATTTTTTATTTTTATTTTTTATTTTTTTGTAAGAGATCAATACATTGCTAAAATCAGACTCGAGAATTGTATTCATGAGACAGTGAATAGCACAATCATCTTCCTAAGCATTTTCATAGCCCTAAGAATGCACTTACATTTTCATAGCGAAAGAAAAATGTGTAAGAATTCTTGTTGTCAACACATTAAACTAACCAATATGTATTACAAATTTACGACTTGATATAAAAAATTATTGTCTTTAAACATAGAAGCTACTGATGCTTCAAACCAAAAATAACTATAATAGAAATAAACCAAGCACTTACATAGATCATACTATGAAAAGAATCAAAGAAGACATATACACACACCCAAAAAAATGATCCAAAGATAAGTTCGATTGAAACTGACCACTGCCTGTACAATCTATGAACACATTGAAAAGAATAAAAGAAGACAGACACAGAGACAAATGATCAAAAGATATTTTGCTTGAAACTGACCACAGCCTGGATAATCTGGATTTCTGTACAAAGAGAAAGCCCAACAAAAAGCAACTCCAACTCCTCATCTTGTGATGTGGTTCTCTGGCATAAAAGAAAGATATGAAAAAAAAACAATGCGTGATATTTTCAAGAAGCTTGAATTGAAGTGAAAACAGAAAATCAATAAAAAAATAAAGAAGTTTGAGCAAAATTGCACTTTACCTGCTATCTAGAATTAACATTTTCATAGATTCTCCAACTTCTGTAAAATCTGGATAAAGTGAAAACTAAAAGGAAGGTTGGGCCTAAAACTGCCACCATATTTATGTGGAAGGGAAGGTTCTTTACTTTTTATAAGTTCTGTAGTTCCTCTTGCAATATTACAATGCAAAGCTCTGCTTAGTTTGTTGATGGAATATTCTTCTGTTAAGTTCAGAACTTGAATTTGACCAAAATAGAATATGAAACTGACCACTGCCTGAGAACCATTTCAACTGGACTGAGAATTAATTCAAGGAATGTCAGAGGTAACTCTCTATCTAGTTAATTCCCTTCGTACACCCTGCATAGGTGGAACCACCACTGGGTAATGGCTTTCTAAATTGAACCCCAATCTCTATCCCACTCCATTGGGGTCTGGTATTGTGTATTGGCCCAAAGGAAAAAAATGAACATCATATAAGAAGATAAGAAAAAGGCAGAGGTAACTGAAAACCCTTACAGGATCTCATAGTCATTTTCCTTTGACTACCACGTTGATCCATAATTTTTTACAATAAACTGAGTTCACCACAGACTTGCTACATTCACCCTTACAGGATCTCATAGTCATTTTCCTTTGTTTCAACTCCATGGTAAGGTAATAAGAAGTGGTAACTGAAAACCCTTCATCACTGGTGTTTGTATGGCACTTAAATGGATACGCAAGAGTGGTTGTAGACAACATAACTTGAGAGGGACAATTGTAGACAACATCAGCCAGTTCACAGAATTGTTGAAGAAAAACTGATGGTTGCATACATTTAAGTGGACTGTGATTGAGGGGTTTTTTTTTTTTTTTTCCTTCAATATCAACTAATAATATATGAACTTAATTATCATTATTTTAATTATGAGCATCCTCATAAGATTATTGTTGTTTAGTTACTATAATATAGAGATTTTGCCCGTTTAGATCGTCTTTTTGATGAATATGGGGATGAGAATGTCAATCTTCAAGAAGAAGAAGAAGAAGAAGAAGTAGAGCTAGGTGGTACTTCTCAGAGAGTAAATGTTACACAGGAGCTAATTCAAAAGATGAGTGAAACCCGTAATGCAGTTGCAAATGAGTTGTGGAACAACTATCGTGATAGATGAATCACTACTATTTGCTCATTATAATATTGTCACTTTTATTATAATTAATTTTCTATTTGGATATTGTAATATTGTCACTTTGGATTAATTTTCTATTTGGATATTGCAATATTGTAACTTTTATTTGGAATAATTTTGTATCTAAATGCCATTTGAATTCATGTTATAATCTGCATGCTTTTGAAATTATGTGTATGCTGGGCCGAAAAATTAGAGTTGTGTTTCACTTGTTACTATACTAATATAATCTGCCCAGGCTTATTTCAACTTTATTACAGGGGAAATGCCTCATTACTAAGGCATTTGAGCGTTTTCCCACATATAATAGATTTACATGAACAAACTGGTATTGACCCTGTCCCTGAGGAAGAAACAACAGAGATGGGATACATTAATAATTCACACTACTACTACTACTACAACAATTAATTATACATGATATTTCTTTATTACATGAATTCAATCTAATTAGGCATTAGTTATGTAGCTACAACTCTTTGATTGCAATGGAACCCGCTTTCGGTATTCTGCCAAAGCCCACAATGGGTATATATTCTTGTAGGCTGCATAGTGTAACATGCAATTTTTCATGAAAACTCCAGTAATTTCCTGCATGTAAAAGTGAGATGGATCATATATTAGACAACTCTCCAATAAAAAAAAAGTTCAATCAATATTACATTATGGATTAGAGTGTATTGCCTACTTCAAACCATTTCTCTCTTTATACAGGTTGATTTTACATCTTAACAAAATCAGAACCAAAAGCAATTCAAGAACCAAAAGCAAAAACAGAAATTTATTATTTTTTACTAAACACAATTTATGTGTTTTGCTTTCAAATTTCAAAAGTAGACAGCAGTTTATTGAACACACTTTTTGTGTTTTGCTTTCAAATTTCAAAAGTAACTCGCAGTTTATTAAACATAATTTTACTTTCTGTTTTATCTCAAAGAAATCAAAATCATGATTTTACTTTTCAAGAAAGTGAAAGTAAGAAAGTAAAAACGTTAATAAACGGACCCTAAGTGAATGGTCTGTGGCTATTGATAATTTTTTATCCTTTAATAATTTGTTGTTGGAATTGTGGTTACAAATAGGGATAAATTTGTTAATAGGATAAAGTGCAGAAAACCCCCCTCTATTATGGATATAGTGCATATCAGTCTTTGTGTAGTAAAAAATTCCCCTATATTATCAATTTTGTGCAAATAGGTCATTGTGTGGTGTAAAATGATGATAATACCCTCACTTCAGTTGAATAAATTAATGATTATAAATACTGGCCATGTAAAATGACTCTTTTGTCTAAATTTGTGTAAAATTATGTTTGTTTGACAGAAAGGTAAAATAAAACCTCAAATTGTATAAAATAGGGATAACCTAATATTGAATATAATGAAAACTAAAACCAAACATTCGCCAACCTCCATTACCACCACCCATCACCGCCTAACCCAACCTCCATTACCCCCACCCATCACTGTTCGCCGCCACCAAACAGAAGCAAAATCCAATCAAAATTGAGACCAGGTCCAAGGAGCTCCAACAATAGCTCGCTTCCACTGGAGAGGTACGTAGCAGCAAGGAACATCAGGTAACCGTAGACGATTATGAGGAAGAGATTGCCGAGTACGGTGGTGGTGCAGGGCAGGAAGCCGTACGTCTAATCGCAAGACTCGTCCGCAAGGAACCGATTGAGCCGGAGAAATTGCGGCGCAAACCATCTTGGACACCATCATAGATGAGATCTGAGGATGGACGGCTGGTGATGAATTGGCTATAGGAGAGGTCGCAGAGGATGAGAGAAAGGAGAATAGTTGAGAGGAAGGTGGGATATCGTCTGTGAGCCATGTTTGGAGCTTTGTTGATGTGTGTCAGAGATGGATATGCATATCTGTATGTGTATATACTATATATATATATATATATATATATATATATATATATATAGAGTTAATCTTCTCTGGCCATCAT